GGGAGCTCCTCGACTCAGCTAGTCTGCTGGCTGCAGCCGCATGAGGTAGACCCTCCCTTTCTCCCCACAGCCAGCCTCCAGCACCACGCTCGCTCCCCTTGCGACATAAGAACGGCCATGCTGGGTCAGACCAAAGGTCCATCCGGCCCAGTGTCCTGTCTGCCGACAGCGGCCAAAGCCAGGCGCCCCAGAGGGAGGGAACAGAGCAGGAAATCATCAAGCGCTCCCTCCCCTGTCACCCATTACCAACCTCTGGCAAACAGAAGCTAGGCCACCACATCCCTCCCACCGTGGCTAATAGCCCCTATAGACCTGTCCTCTGTGATTGTATCTCATTCTTTTTTGAACCCTGTTAAAGTCCTGGTCGTCACACCATCCCCCGGCAAGGAGTTCCACAGGTCGCCAGTGCGCTTCATGAAGAAAAAACTTCCTTTGGTTTGTTTTCACCCGTTCATTTCATTGGGTGACCCCCCTCGTTCTTATGGGATGGGACCAAGTGAATCCCTTCTCCTGAGTCACTTTCTCCAGACCTGGCCTGATTTTATAAACCGCTATCGTATCCCCCCCTCCGTCTCCTCTTTTCTAAGCTGAAACGTCCCAGTCTGTTTAATCTCTCTTCACGTGGCAGCCGTTCCCAACCCCTCCTCATCCTACACCGCGAGCGCTGCAGCAAACGTCCCCCCTGAAGCTTCTTCAATGCTACAAGGAGGCTGGTTTGGCCCGGAAACAGCCTTGCCTGAGAGGAGGTGGGCGCGGTAACGGTGCTGACTGGCCCGACGTTTGTCGGCGAGCGAGAAAAGCTTCCGGGCCTCGGCAGAGCTCTTTGCGCCAAGCCTGGTCACCAGCCGGGCCCGGGACCCTCACACATGTCCCTGCGTGGTGCTCTCGGAGCATCGCCGCGGCCCCCACCCCCGGGTCATGTTATCTGTCCCCCTGCACCCATCCCCTGACTGCCTCAGCAGTCCAGAGGCAGCCCCAGCTTTCTCCCCCCAGGCAGCCCAGTGCGACAACGATCGGGGCGCTACCCCCGGCCAGCAGCTGCGAAGGGCCCCATGGCGCAGGGCAGTGCCCGCCTCTCTGGACTTTTCCAACCGGCAGCAGAGGCCGTGCCAGCGAGCCGGGGGTCCCTGCTGTGGTTACAGAGCGAGGCTGGCAAATCAATAGCAGTGCATGCAAGACGGCTTTGATTTAATCTCTTCCCCTGCCGGGAACCGGGGGAGGAATAAATTCCCCCCTCCCCTTCCAGGGCTGCTTTTCCAATAAATCAAATCTGCCACCTACCTTGTAAGAAAAACGGGTACCAGGAGGAGCTGGGGGGAGGACGACGCAGGTCCCTCCTAAGGATGCGTCCTCCGCTGGCTCCGTGCGCCTCGGTGGCCTTTTCCCGGAATGAATCCCGCTCCGGCACGCTTCCCCGTTAACAATCGCAAATCCTCAGTGTAATCTATTAATGTCAGCGCCGGGCGGGATAATGAGACCGGCTTTTCCCCAGCCCCCCGCCCCACCCTCCCCTGGGGGATTTTGCTGTTT